TCCTATTGTAGAAGGCAGCAAAACATTTTACCCTCTTAGAGAGCCCGTCTTTCCTCATTGATGGTCAACGTCATACCCATCCTAAGTAGACCCAGCAATACTAGAGGAAAATAGGGAAAGAACATAGCATCAGAGCTGAGGTCAACATCTGGATGGACTTAGGCTTCACAAAGGAATTCACTGACTCATTGGCACATGTGAGGACTGTCATCTCCTCCACAGCATTTAGTCTTTAATCATGAGAGCCCATTGGAGGAAGACTTGGCTTTCAGGAATATTAATGGAGTAATAATGCTATGAAAAGTGAAAAAAAACAAGGCAAGAAGCTGAGTAGTTCCAAAAAACACCATTATGACTCCCTCCCTACACACACACACACATACATATACACACACAAGGAAGGAGTAGCCAAAAGATTGACACTGAAAACTAAGAAAGTCACCCACTGAGTGTTTGAACAGGAATGGGATAGGAGTCCCATCTGTGCTCTGACCCTACCTGACCTTCAGGGGCTCCATCAGTGGTGCAAAAGGCTTGTGGAGTGACTGAGATCTCCCTGTGACCTTGGCGGGGCGTAACATGGACTCTCCCGACAGGATATCCGCACCAGCATGTCCCCACTGCTCTGGGGCAGTGGTGCCCAATCTGGTAAGAGGGAAGGAAGAGGAAATAGAATAAGAGATGATGGGCAGGGCTTTCCTGTTGCAATTGTTTGGAAGAACATGGGCCATAGTGTCACTTCTGGACAAAATGTGCCTTGAATGAGTTGCTGCAGGCACAACGCCTTCCCTCACACACCCAGCACACCCCTCTCCTGCCTCATCAGAGAAGCCCCACAGGCAACCGAGAGCAACAGCTTGCAGATCCATGCCAAGGCATGCTACTTAGTGTGGCATGCTCACTAACCTGGGCCACATCCTTGCCTTGCCACTCGTCGGAGACCTTTGGCTGCATACAGAGCCTTGCTGGCCAAGGATGCAGAGAAAGGGCTCAGAGCTGGTGCGCCATCCCCTGCATCTGGGCCCACAGTCCTGCTCTCCTGCAGATTATGAATTAACTTCTGAACCTCTTGAGGTTGATAGATCACAGGTGACGACAGGAAGTGATGGGGAACTTATTTGCTCATGACTACTCAGCTGCTGTTCTCTGTTATTTAAGCTAGTGTTTTATTAGGTTCACTCCTTGTGATCAGGAGGATTTGGAAACACCTGCTTTGATTGTCCTATTGCAGTGACCTCATGATTCACAAGACCCCAAATTGTATTCCTCAGAGAGCTAAGGAATTTCTAGTGGCAGTTCCTGTGAAGCAGAGAGGACAACAGCTGCTCAGGTATCCCATGCTCCATGTGGGAAAGGCTTGAGTAGAGGAAGAAATTTAGATTCTGACTTGATTTTGTGTGATCAGTTTCACCACCCCCTTCTGGCATCCTGCCTCCCCCAGCAGTGGTTTTCATTTACCCAGAAGGTAAATCACTAGCTTGCTCCAATCTATCTAGTCTGCTCCAATCTATCACTAGCCTGCTCTGATCTATCACTAGCCTGCTCCAATCACATGTTGTTGCAGGAACTTGAGAGCCATTCTCTAGGCAGCAAAAGATGGCCTTTCCTGGATAAGGACAATTAAAGCAGCAATGGGTCTCAGGCATTTATACTATGCACAATAATCAGCTGAGTAACAGATTAACAGCTAAACATTTCCAGCAAGTTAGGAGGCAGTTTTGTTGTCAGACTAAGGTTGAACCGCTATTCTAAGACAAGCCTTAACCATTTGCTTCCCCTGTTTTGATAAATCCTCCCAGTCCTGGACAACCCAGAACATCTTTATGTGCACCAACAAGAAGGTCTCTGAGATCCCATTCTGGGGATACCACAAAAAAAAAAAAGGAACAAAATGCATCCAGCCTTGTTTATTGCAAGTCAGTTTTTATGTCAGGCTGCTCTTATGCCAGGCTCTTCCCAGAAAGCAGAGTTGTTCATCACACAGTTGCTGTGGAAGCTTGTTTCTACACTGCAATACTCGTCAGAGAAGGCAGTCAGGGTCTCAATACAACACTCGCCTCCTGTAGTGGTACTTCTTGCCCCCTATAGAAGAGAAGGTAGGAAAGCAAGGATGAGAAACACTCTCCTTAGTCAGAAAGCTGCTAAGGGCATTAATGGCAGGACTTAATTGTCCAGTCTGCTCATGGCACCTCTTAATTTGATGGGTTTTCCTTTCATTTTACATAATGCTCCCAAGTATCTCTGGAACTAAAAATTTAGTGGGACGTAGGGGAAGGTGTCACTATGGGTTTATGTTTGCCTAAATATGATAATCTAATAGTTTAACTGGGTAATCAAGGTTGCGTCTTTAGGCAACAGACACACATGTATTTTCAGAAAATGATCCACTTGGTCTATCTTGGTATATTTTAGATACCTGTCTACAAATCCAGCCAAGTACTTACTAAGCCCTATAAACATCTGCTTCACTACTGGTTATGCTATACTGAATTGTAGGAGTACACGAGTGTCTCCTGATTGCTCCTGTGCAGTCAGAGGTATTTTTATGCTAACCATCCAGTATGAGTTGGCGGCTAGTGACCAGGGGCTGTGGTTTTGCAGTACTATTTCTTATTTCCCCAAATTCCCTACCCCACACTGAGTAGTTATCATGAAATATTTATATATGACAGCCTGCGAGCCTGCGGCCACCTCGAATGGCATAGATGTCCTTATGGTTGCAGCTAATGTGACCATTACAACTTTCATATTGGCTCCACAGCCAACATCTTAAACGCATTTTCCCTCAAAGATGCACCATCCTTCAGCCAGAAAGAGGTTTCCATGTCTGGTTGCAAGATAGTCCCTGCAGCACTGTAGCTCCACCAGGATTTTTCAGTCTCATCCTGTGACAGCCTTTCCACCGCTCAGCCTGAAAGACAGTACCTCTTGTCCTTCTCCTCCTTAGCCCTTGTCTCCTTCCATGCTTTGTACCTCTGACTCTTCGCCTCTGCCGTGAGAGTTCCCTGTTGTGTTTCTTCCGATATTGCCTGTATCTCGCCATTTCTGCTTTCAAGATCTCTGTAAAAGGATAGCAGCCGCCTGGCGGAGCTGCCTGTTTCTCTGACAGGTGGTCTTGCTCTGTATCAGATGGTGAGTGGACACATATCTGGCCTATCTTTAGAGGTCAGCCACTATGACATACTGGGTATTTGTGATGCAAGAGAGTCACTTTTGCCATATATGGAAATAGCCATATTTGGCCATTTGGTTTTCCATCACAATAGAAACTGCTTCGTGATTGGTCTTTGACTGTGAAACAAGAGCTTTTCCTTCCATCTCAGAATCCATGAACTTAGGCTCAAGGCTAAAAAATTTACCTCTGGGCTTTCACTTCAGGGTTTTCACCGTATTAAGGGGAGGGCAAAGACAGTGAAACTGAGGTCTATGATCTCCAGAACAGAACTGCAGCTCAGTAGTCCAGAGCCCACCCATGTAATGTTGTCTTCTACGAGGCCCGTCCCTTATAATCAGCTCTGACATGACATGACAATGAAAAGGAAAGAAAGAAAGAAACAGGGAAGTTTGTCAAGGATGGGAAACACAGACTCGTAATTGGTTTCTATTAATTATTTCATTTTCAGTCCAAAAAATCTCTTCCATTAAAGCACTGATGCCTGCCATGTAAGAATTAAATGTCAGAAAAACCAAACCACCCTGTAATTACAAGAGTATTTTTTTCTGCTCTCTTGTTGAAGTGACATATGAATACTGTGAGGTTACTTCTATTGTGCAACTGATGCATTGTTATACCACATAGCAGGATGGAGCTGACCCTAGAAACTCCCAACACACACTAAATTGAGATCTTCTTTTGGAAATGACGCTAGCAGTACGCATCTCAGTAATGATAGCCTTTGGGCCTTGTTCTGGAGTCATAGGGAGTTTATGAGATGTTATATTCTCCGATTTCCTCTCTGCTGAAACTTCCCTGGGAAGGTCTTTCAGCATCAGGATGTGTCACTTCCAAAAGGATGTTTGGGCAGAGTCCGTGACAAAAAAAATCAGACTACTGATCTGGAGCTAGGTAGGCAGAGGGATGCAGTCTAGAGCTGGAGCTGTTCCCAGGCCTGTGCCACTGGTCTGATTTCCAGAACTAGATATATAAAAACCTTGAGACCCACAAACAGCTTCTATTATGTTAGTCACATTGGTTGACCTTTATACATAGAATACAAATATAATGCGGTCACACTGTTTTGCGTAGTAAAACATCATCCATCTTGCACATAGGTCTCAATCTGGCCAGGAAATTTCAATGTAAATATTAAAAAAAACCAAACATTTTCAAACAGCCCAAAGCATCTGGTATTCAAAGTCAATAATGTAGTAGGCATAGTTTGTTACAACCCAAAGTCCTACACCAGGGTATGGACACCATAGCGATGATTTTATAACAACTGTAGATAAAGACCTTGTTTTTCTCTCATAGCCAGGAAATCAGAAAAGCACCGTGGCTTAATGAATATATCTTTTTATTAATTGCAGGTCAAATACATGGTGTGATTGATACAGGTTATTATTTTCAATATCTTTATCAATGACATTATGATAATGATTCATAACTATTACCTATTGATTATAACAATTATAACAGATATAAGTTAATGCTACCGAGTGATTAATAACTACATATTTGCATTGCTCTTGCCACAACAGATATTAAGTATAAACAAGGAATGAAGTGTGCTAGACCCTTTACTAGCAAAAGAAAGGATTCCCAAAAATAGTTGGGTATAGATCTGAAGAGCATAAGGCAGTAAAAGTCCTCACCAAAGTCTGGTTAAAACACATCAGTCACCAACTAAAGATGTTTTGTGTAGACAACAGAGCAATAGAGCTTTAAGGCAGCCCAGCGATCATGACGAAAGGTTGTAGAACTTGGGGAGTTTCTCCTGGGAAGGAGCAGCAGAACGGGACAAAGAACGAAGGCACTTGGAGACCTGTCAAGTAGGAGGAGAATGAAGGCAGCGCTGATCACCGAGCTGATCACAGAGCTAGAAATGACAAGGCTGGATGTGAGTGTGAGACCACATGGTGGACATGCATTCATTGCAGTCACAGGTTATTCTGCAATAAGTATTAAAACTGATTGTGTATGATCAGATATCATTTTTCATGTTTTATGAGTGGATTCTGTTTTCATTCCTTGTGGCTATTACTAAAAAAATAAGCAGCTAGCTCATGTGATTCAGCCAACCTGAGGTGTGATTTTTTATAATTATGTCTACAATACTGCATTGTACCCAACCTAATAGCTAGTCCCACAGCATGTGAACGTTCACAGAATTAGACCACAGCACCTCAGTTCAACACAGCCACCCCAATACGCTGAAGAAGGTCTACCGATACATCAGATCAGTCTACCTATCACCTGTTTCAAAGAAGAGGAAAGATTAAAGAGGAATAAGAGTCCAACTGCTCCACAAATTATCCAGAGACAGACTTGTTTGGAAGAGTAAAGCAGCTTGATACAGATGCAGATTCTTCACAAATCCTTTCTTCATTCGTTAATGCAAATTTGAGAAACTGGCAGTGAAGAGGGGACGGATGAATGATCAGAGCAGACACTGCACCAAGCCTTGTAGTATTTTGTCCTTAAAACTGTTGCTGAGGTGTCCCATGGTTATTAAATGTGTGTAGTGAAACTGAAGATCTCTATCCACATAAAGCAACTTAGCTTTCTGCTAACTTGCTTGTAAATCAAGAGCCGGTTCTTTGCCATCAACAGATATCTGGTACACACAGCTGCAAAATGGGCATGAGATCACATGCAACCCACTAAAATCTGGGTTCTTTGATTTTCCTAACCCTTGTGATTTGTGACATCGAGCCACCTTGTTTCTATGATTGATCCAATGGGCCAAACTCTTCTTTTGCCTTTTTCCCTCTAAGCCAAAGACATGAAGAATAAGTTTGTTCCTCACTACCACCCTGCCTTTTCTTTTTCTTTTTCTTTTTTTTTTTTCCGGCTTATAGTCTTAAGGGCCATCATAAGAGAAGTTTAATAACACCTACAGGTTTTTACGCTTCAGTGAAAGATGGCAATGCAAGTCCTTAGGCATTTTTTTCAGAGTGGCTCTAGGCAAAGATCTCCTTTGTATATAGTATAGAGTCATTCTTTTAAAATCAACAGTTTATTCTTTTTTTTATAGTGTGTTGTATTTTACTGTTAAGGAGAGCTCCTCGTGAAAAAAGTGCATGTAATCTTTTATAGAAAGAGCAACTATGTTAAAACAAAGACAGAGGTTTACATTTTTGTAGGCAAAAAGTGGTTTCTCATTGACTTTCATACTCCTGTTTCATTTTCAAGGCTACCCAGAAAGCATGCATGATTAAGTGCAACTTGCTGGCCATGACTGAGGAGGTGAAACAGTAGAAGTCCCTAAATTGGAAGTACTTCCTCGCTGTTTGCAGAGGAAGGCTCAAAATGCATAGAAGGTAAGTATACACTGTTCAAGAAAATGAAGTCAAGTATTTTCAGTTGTAGTCATTGGGGGTGCTAACAGGTACATGCATGCATAAAACAATTTGATTAATCCTAGGACAAAATCTATCAAAAATGCATAGATACCATTTCTGCCCCGGTTGTCCAGCCAGTGGGGTATGATTGGCACAGGAACACAGCAAAGCCAACAATGACAATCTCAGAAGCAGGAGTGGAAAAGTCCTACTGTCCTCACTGTCGTATACATCTTGCCAGAAAAAACCAATTACTTCTTGCAGAAAAGGACAGGGAGAGTCAGTGTCTCTCTCCTTAGTGGCTGGCATGAGCAGAAATGCACTCTCTGGTCTCTCAAAAGCACCATGCTCACTGTACTACCACCCTCAAACTTCAACCAGGGCTGGCCCTATTTCTTGGCTTCATCCATGGCCTTAAAGATATTCCTTAGCCCTAAATATTTCCATTTGTTTTCTATTTTGATACATGCTTCTAGGAAACAGTGCCTTCAGGGGGGTCATATCTTTTATTTTGTTGGTAGGGCAACTTTTCGGAGTCCCTGTTTGATTATGCCTGTTTGCCTTCTGATAGCTGTGTTTCCTGGATGGCTGCCATGTGTTTTTCCTTTCTAGTTAATCTTACAGCAATGATCCTGGCCTTCAACAGATACAGAGTGTTTGTCCTCCTGGTGTTCAATAGGACTCTAAAACATAAACACTTTTTCATGTGTTTCTGGGTACATCAGCATTCAGAAACCAAACTCCTTTATGAGTAGCAGTCACATCCAGCACTCAGCATTTTCAAATCTCTGCAGACACATGAATTCATGCTCTTTCTGTCTTGCAAGGAAATAAAGTTTACAAATGACTCTCCACACTTCTGGGGAAGAAAGCTGAGAAATGAAAAGCTTCAGATTGCAGGAGCAAAAACTAGTCATATGAACAGGTAACCAAACATATAAACAGGTAACCATTTAAAAAGCATCCAAGGAACCTTTCTGGCAGAGGTAACATTACGTAGCAGGAAACCCTTGCTTTGTGCTGGAGCACAGCAGGCAGGTTTGATCCTTTGTCTGCCTACATCTTTCCTCAAAGTGCATGTTACTGACTTGGGAACCTCACTGACATTTTTTAACTCTGGAGCTCCATCATCTTTTTCCTTTTTTTTTTTTTCTTTTTTTGGTCTTGTGCTGTTTTGCAGGTTCAGCTTTTGTATCTCAATGAAGCCTCTGAGTTTTCTGTAGCTCCTTCAGTCCCACAGAGTGCTCTAGGAATGCTATGAACTGAGTAAGACTTTTCCCTGACATCAACACTCAGCAATGTTGAGCTGAGAAAGCGACAGATTGTGGCATCTTACTGTATTTGTCTGAGATAGGATTCAATATGAAGAATCAGCGCATTGTTTCAATGTCTGCATACCAGTTAACTACTAATGAATTCACAGTCAATAAAATATACTCTCTGGGTAATATCCGGTCAACAGTTAACCTAGTAGTTATGTTTGGAAAAGAGTTTATGATCAATCCCCTGTTGCCACAACCTTATAAGTTCTGGAACGTTCACTTGTTGGCCTGAAACTTCCCAGAATTTTTAGGGTGGCAAAATCAAATCTTACATGAGCAGGGGGAAGAATACAGCTTCCCAAAAATTCTGCTTCAATATTTTCAAGCCAGTGCCAAAAGAAACATGCACCAGTTTGGGATTAAAGTTTGCCAGAGCAGGCATTTTTTGCAGAAATAATGACTGTCCTGCTTGAGGAAAGAACATGTATGGCTATCCCAAAATTAGGAGCAGTGACAAAAAAAACCATGCTGAGAATATAGGTTTTTATTCTGTTTTTCTTACATGTACAGCTATTGGGTCATTTCTGGAAGAAATTTTCCTGTGCCCATTAACTAGATGAATAGTTCTCAAGACTGCTTTGTCAGACTCCACTGTTCACAAGTTTTGTTTACATGACTGCACTGCAAGTCTTCAAACTTGATTGTTTGGGAATCTCACTGAGACCTTAAAAAGAAGCTAGGTTTGAATAAACTTGGTAGAGTTATAAACCAATTTCAAAGTTATCGACGATACACACATGCATACACACATATAGATGTATTACTTAGCATTACACAGTCACTTGCAGTCTTCAAACACTTAAAATGTTAATAATACTGCAGTGGTTGGCATCACACTTCATGTCTAAATGCCTTAAAGATGCACAAAACCAAACAGCCAAACCAATAAAAACCCCACAATTCCTAGCTCAGTAGTTTTAAAATGACTCATATTTCAGCAAAGGACCCAAAACCATCTCAAACTGAAATCATAGCACTCAGAATCCTGTCCATATTTGATCTGGTGCTGCCTTTCTGCATCCAACTCTCTTACCCGGTAAAGTCACGTACACATACATCTACATGGGGGTGTGACACACGAGTGGGTACAAAGCAGTTTAATGGGTTGGCTAGAAAGCTGTGATAAGGAGGGGGTATAAACAGGGTTCCTCCTGTGTTGAAGCTTTCCCTACACTAATATACAGTGACTTGATTTTGTTTATAGTGTGGGACCTGGATTGCCCACAAAGTTCTTTTTCACAGGATGCATTTTCTCAGTCCCCCCTCATTAAAGTAAATCTGATTACATTTCAGTCTCCTTTTTTTAAAGAGAGGGGAGCTAGCGGGGGGAGCTGGAGCCACACACTTAGATAATTTCCATTCAAATTCAGCACAGTAGTCCTCTCAGCCAAGTCGCACTTAGGGGAAGGAGACAGCAGGGGAAAATTTTGTGCTATTCTTTGATGGCCTTCATCGGGTGGATGAAGCATGACCAATCATCCATAACCTGACAAGGCCTTGGAAAAGGCAGAATCATGACTACGTCACGTATACCTCCAATGCCAGGACAATACGGGGTACTGTTGTGGGCTGCAGGGCTGGAAAGGAAGAGCTTTTAAAGTTGTAGTAACAAGGAGAAATTATTATCTGGGGGGTGATGGGAGGAAGGGGCAATCTTGAAGAGGACATCAGAAGAAGCTGCGGGGGGGGGCGAGGTGACTTGTCCCCTCCCTGCCCTAGCCTCCATCCTCCCTAAGACATTTCAACATTCGTTATCCAAGCAGCAAGCTCTTTTCTATGATGGGGAAGAAAGAAATCAACTGTGTTTTTAAAAGCTACTTGAAGCCCACAAAAGGTGCATTGTTTCAAAATGGGTTGAGGGGGCTGGGTGCTTTGGGGGGAAAGAGTTGAACTTATACCATCATTTTGTCTAATTATTCCTGATGTTATTCCTGTTGTCATGTGGATTACTACAAAGCCAACTGCCAGCTTGCGTCCCTGAGAGCAAAGACTAAACTGTTACGCTTACAAGGACACGAGGCTTGTTCCCCACTCCCTCCTCCCTCTCCCACACTACTGCAGGCGCTGGCTCTTCCTTGGGATGCCCACACATTTGGAAGAGATGTCAGGAAACGTGGGGGCAGAAACCACCTAGGAGATACCAGCCATTTCTGCCAGTTAAGAGGCAACCACCAGGCTTATCCTGTAAAACTCCAGAGACGCTGAGAGACATCCAACCAGTCACCTAGACAATG